AAAGTTAGTACAAGGAAGGAAATAATAAAGATCAGAGTGCAAATAAAAGAAATAGAGATTTAAAAAAATAGAAAAAATCAATGAAACAAAGAGCTGTTTCTTTGAAAATATTAAAAAAATCAATAAACCTTAGTCAGAGTTATCAACAAAAAAAGAGAGAGGGCCCAAATAAATAAAATCAGAAATAAAAAAGGAGAAATGACAATCAATACCACAGAAATACAAAAGATCATAAAAGAATAGTGTCGACAACTATATGCCAATAAATTGGAAAACCTAGAAGAAATGGATAAATCCCTAGAAACTTACAACCTTTCATGATTGATTCATGAAGAAATTGAAAATCTGAATAGACCAATTACTAGTAATGAAATTGAATCAGTTATCAAAAAACTCCCAACAAACAGGACTAGATGGCTTCACAGGTAAATTCTACCAACATTTAAAGAAGAGTTAATACCTATCCTTCTCAAATTATTCCAAAAAATTCAAAGAGGAAGGAACTTTTCCAAACTCATTTTATGAGGCCAGCATTACCCTGATACCAGAGCCAGACAAAGACACTATAAAAAAAAAAGAAAATTACAGGCCAATATCCCTGAGGAACATAGATGCAAAAATCCTCAACAAAATATTAGCAAACTGAATCCAACAATACACTAAAAAGATCATACACCATAATCATGTGGGATTTATTCCAGGGATGCAAGGATGGTTCAACATCTGCAAATGAATCAACAGGATACACCACATTAACAAAATGAAGGACAAAAATCACATGATTATCTCAATAGATATAGAAAAAGCATTTGACAAAATTCAAGACCCATTTATGATAACAACACCAACAAAATGGGCATAGAGGAAACATACCTCAACATAATAAGGGCCGTATGTGACAAACCCACAGCTAACAACATACTCAATGGTGAAAAGCCAAAAGCTTTTCCTCCCTGCTCAGGAACAAGAGAAAGATGCCCACTCTCACCACTTTTATTCAACATAGTATTGGAAGTTTTAGCCATAGCAATTAGGCAAGAAAAAGAAATAAAAGGCATCTAAATTGAAAAGGAAGAAGTAAAATGGTCACTATTTGTGGAGGATGTGACAGTATATATATAAAACTCTAAAGACTCCACCAAAAAACTATTAGAACTAATAAATGAATTTAGTAAAGTTGCAGGATACAAAATTAATATACAGAAATCAGTTGCACTTCTATACACTAATACAAACTTTCAGAAATAAAAATTAAGAAAACAATCCCATTTACAACTGCATCAAAAAGAATAAAATACCTAGGAATAAGTTTAACCAAGGAGGTAGAAGACCTGTACTCTGAAAACTAGAAGACATTGCTAAAAGAAATTGAAGATGACACAAATAAATGGAAAGATATACTGTGCTCACAGATTGGAAGAATTAATACTGTTAAAATGTCCATACTACCTAAAGCAATCTACCAATTCAATGCAACCCCTATCAAAATATCATTGGCATTTTTCACAGAATTAGAACAAATAATCTTAAAATTTGTATAAAACTACAAAAAAATAGTCAAAGCAATCTTGAGAAAGAAGAACAAAGCTGGAGGTATCTCTCTCCCTAATTTGAAACTATACCACAAAGCTATGATAATCAAAACAGTATGGTACCGGCACAAAAACAGACATAAAGATCAATGGAACAGAATACAGAGCCCAGAAATAAACCCATGACTATATGGTCAATTAATCTAAGACAAAGGAGGCAAGAATATATGGTGGGGAAAAGACAATATCTTCAATAAATGGTGTTGGAAAAACTGGATGGCAAAAGAATGAAACTGGACCACTATATTACACTATATATAAAAATAAATTCAAAATGAATTAAAGACTTGAACGTTAAGACCTGAAACCATAAAACTCCTAGAAGAAAACATAGGCAGTAAGCTCTTTGACATCAATATCAGCAATAACTTTTCGGATCTGTCTCCTCAGGCAAGGCTGACAAAAGCAAAAATGAACAAATGGGACTACATCAAACTAAAAAGCTTTTGCATAACAAAGGAAACCATCAACAAAAGGAAAAGGCAACCTATTGAATGGGAAAAGATAATTGCAAATGTATAGCTGATAAGGGGTTAATATCCAAAATATATAAATAACTCATACAACTCAATATCAAAAAAACAAGTAATCCAATTAGAAAATGGGCAGAGGACCTGGACAGATATTTTTCCAAAGAAGATGTACAAATGACCAACAGCCATATGAAAAGATGCTCCACATCACTAATAATCAGGGAATTGGAAATCAAAATCACAATGAGATATCACCTCACACCAATCAGAATGGCTATCATCAAAAAGACAACAAGTGAGTGTTGGCGAGGATGGGCAAGAAAGGGAACCCTCACTTACTGTTGGTGGGAATGTAAATTGGTTCATCCACTGTGGAAAACAGTGTGGAGGTTCCTCAAAAAATTAAAAATAGAACTATCATATGACTCAGCAATTCCACTTCTGGGTATTTATCCAAAGAACACCAAAACGCTAATTCAAATAGATGTATGTACCCCTATGTTCATTGCAGCATTATTTACAACAGCAAAGATGTGGAAACAACCTAAGTGTCCATTGATAGATGAATGGATAAAGAAGATGTGCTCTATATCTATACACACTGGAATACTCTGAGCAGTAAAAAGAGTGAAATTGTGCCATTTGTGACAATCCCATGGATGGACCTTGAGGGTATTATGCTAAGCAAAATAAGTCACACAGAGAAAGACAAATATCACATGATTTCACTCATATGTGGAATCTAAAAAGAGAAGCAAAACAAAATAAAACAAAAATAAACTCATAGATACAGAGAACAGATTAGTGGTTACCAGGGGGAAAGGAGATTGGGGGGTGGGTGAAATGGGTGAAAGGAGTCAATGGTACTGTGGTGGATGGTAACTAGACTCATGGTAGTGATCACTTTGGAGTGTACACAGATGTCAAATTATAAAGCTGTAAACCTGAAACTTATACAATAAAGAAAGAAAAAATATATATTGCTATTTTAGAAGATGTAATCTAATAACATAATGATGAAATTTTTTTTTAGTCTTATTAAAGGTATTAGTTCTTTATTGCAGCTGTAATAAATTACTGTAAGCTTTGTGGCTTAAAACAACACAAATTTATTATCTTCCAGAAATCTGACAGAAGACTCACTAGTCTAAAATCAAGGTGTTCACAGGGCCTTGTTTCTTTCTGAGGGCTGTAGCGGATAATTTCTTCACGTTTTCCAACTTCTGAATGCTGCCTACATTTCTTGGCTCATTGTCCCCTGCCTTCATTGTCAAAATCAGCCACATTGCATCTCTCTGATCATTATTCCACAGTCACATATCCCTCTCTCCACAGCAGGAAAGGTTTTCTGATTTTAAGGACCCATGTGATTTGATTGGGGCCACCCAGATAACCCAGGATAATCTCCTCATCTCGAAATCCTTAACTTAATCACATCCTTAAAGTCTCTGTTGCCATGTCAAGTAACAGATTACAGGTTCCAGGGATTAGGACACGGATGTCTGTTTCCGTTGGTATAAAATTCTCAAGAATCTCATAGATCTCCCATGTATGTCATAAGATCTGCTCCATTAGACAAGAGGCTCCTCCACAGATCTTTTCTATATAATCATGCATCTATTCTTGGTTTCTGCTGTGCTGGCTGAAGGGATCTATGAGTCACATACTTAATCTCTTCAAAGAACGTTTTACGTGACTGAATACTCTGAGCTCTTGCTACTTCCATGACGCTAGTAAAAAGTTGCACAGCCCACTCTTGGTCACTTCTACAGATCACACTTTCCTGACAGTGAATCTCCTAATTTTAGCACCTTTTGCAACCTGAATAGGCTAAGAATTTTCCAAATTATCAAGTCATGATTCCTTTTTGTTTAGCAGTTCTTTCCTCAATTTATCTCTTTCCTCTCTCATTTTGCTATAAGTAGAAAAGGAAACCAGGTGCACTTCCATCACTTTGCTTAGAAATCTCCTTAGCTATATATCCAGAAAGTTCTGCTTTCCACATAACTGCAAGACAGAATTTTGCTAAGCTTTCTTTCACTACATAATAAATACATAAACTTCTTCCTCTAGTTTCCAAAATATGTTTCTTATTTCCTTCTGAGCTCTCACCAGTCACACTTTTAACATCCACGTTTCTACATATTTCTACTGTTCAGGATATTAATGTGTTCTCTAAGACCATATAAGTTTTCTCTAACATGTCCTTCACCTCCTACTGAGTCCTCACTAGTAGTCTTTGGCATACACCTTTCTACTAACAAAATGCTCAGAGCAATCTATGTTTTTGCTATCATTCTACTTAAAATTCTTCCAGCCTCTGCCCACTGCCCAAAAACACTTCCACATTTTTAGGAATGTGTATTCCTATATTGCTTCCACAACGATTTACTACAAACTTAGTGGCTTAAAACAACACAAATTTGTTATCTTACAATTAGAATTCTGACATGGGTCTCACTGGGCTAAAATCAACCTTTTAGGAGACCTTCATTCCTTTCTGGAGGCTGTAGGGGAGTATCTATTTCCTTGCTTTTTCTACTTCTAATGATCACCCACACTCCCTAGTCCCTTCCTCCACCTTCGGAGCCAACAATGTTTCATCTCTCTGACCATTCTTCCCTAGTTATTTCTCCTTCTCTCAACAGCCAAGAAAGGTTTTCTACTTTGTAAGGCCTATGGGAGTATATTGGGCCCACCTAGAGAATCCAGGATAATCTCCCCCATCTCAAAGTCCCTAGATTAATTGTACCTGTAAAGTCTGTTTTGTCATGTAGGATAACAGATTACAGATCCCAGGGATTAGGACATGGACATCTTTGGAGGACCATTATTCTGCCTACTGCAGTATTGTAAATAATGATAATGATGAAAGTCTGGCATTTAAAAACTCATTTCTAACATCAAAAGCAAGTAGAATATTATCGACTCTTACTTCTTTTCCTCGTGGATCTTCCTAAAGTAGAGTTGTTTCCAAGATTCACAGCACCTAGAAAACAACAGGTGGTGTGAGGAAACAGAAATGAATAAATAAAAGTTACAACTCTTAGAATGATTCATATTGCAGAAGGCTGGAGTTTATAAAGATGTTTGATTTATTGTTTCTCTCTTCCTTCTAAAGGAACTGAAAATCTACTGAATTGAGAATTACTTTCAGAACGGGCCCTGGGTCTTCCTTTATTTCTCAATGGGACTTTGAAAAACACTCTTAAATACATACCTATGTGCTTCAGTTTACTCAAGGTTAGGAACAAGTATCCTTTCCTGTATAGGTCTTAAGATTTTTGTGAGGATTAAATAAGACCTTACGCGTGAGAGTTTTTAGGAAATTACTATATAGTCGAGTGACATGTTGGAGGAAATCCATCAAAAATATGTGGTAGGTTAAGGATAGTCGATCTGAAGTACCTCCTTCTGACAGTTTAGTGGCAGAATCAGTTGTCTTTTGAGGCCTTTCTAAGATTGTGACAAAATGACCTTATTATCTACTAGCAAAAGTATACTTGGCTTTCCTGGGTTCCATAGAATATTGGTTGTGACAGGGGTGGAAATCACTGTATAAAAACAAGGCTTTATTATTAATACAGTGATAGTGAACTGGACACTGCCATTTTAAAAGTGTGTTTCTACTACATCATCTGTATATAATTAACAAGGCCCATTTGGTTAAATATGACTTTATAATGATTTCTTGCCTGCCTGCAGTTCCCAAAAGGGTAAGATCAAGCAAATGCAGAGAATGGGATTCTGGCATGGACTGGACCCATTCCTTGTCGAAGCGTCAAGTGCAGCAGGAAGCAGGAACTCTGATTTCAGACACCTGACATCCTGCAGCCCGAGCCCTGTGACTCTCAGTTTCATAACTGGCCCATTCCCTGTTGGTGAGCAGCCTGATATTCTCCTTGAATTTTGATCACCTACTGCAGACACACACCAAGGGTCTGTGATATCTGCTGAACCACCTCCACCCCAAGACCCTTGGGTGGCCTTACCCATCATGTCAGATGCTTGAATATTTTCGGTCTTTGCCTCTTGGCCTCTTGGTACACCTTTTGAAAAACACATGACACAGGAACAGTTCTCATTTTCAGGTCCTGGTAACCCTGCCTGTACAAGGGTTACAACCCTTGTAACCCTTACAAATTGTCATTTGTAAAGAATTTTCATTTGAGCTCCCTGCCCTCCAGTGATCCTCCTTTCTCCCAACATTATTGACTCCCCATCCCCACTCCTACATCAAAGGATGGCTCTACCACTGCAGTAACTTTCTCTTTTGTTGCTCCTCATTGTCTCCATCCTTGCCTTTCAATCTTTTTTCTCTTTTATCCTTTTTTTTTTTGCCAAAATGTGTACTTTTGTTTTCTATTTTTTCTTGACCTACTTCTCCTATCCATTCATAGATGACAATATTTTTTATAGAATTTTGTATTTAATTATTTGTGATGTTCTTTTCCATTAATATTATTTATTATATATGTATATATACATATTTTTATATATAGAATTCAATTCTTAAAATAATTTTTGTAAAATATTCCATGTAAATACAATAATAGACTAACTTTTGCAGGCAATTTTCCAAATATTGGAATATTAACAATATTAATGTTAAGAAAATTAACAATCTTTTTCACTCATTCAACAAGTATTTGCCAAGCCTCTGTCATGTGCCAGGTGCTGAGATGGGCACAAGACTACTGAAGTGTTGGTGCTTGTCAATCTTATGAGGAAATGAGGAATTGACACATAAATGATTGAATATATTTAACATGAAGACCGTTAGGATACAGATTGTACAAGATACTCTGGAGGGCATAAAGGGAGAACTAGCCTCTTCCAGAGGATGTATCATGGAAGCAGGAGTTAGCCAGATTAGGAAGGAAGGGGGCCAAGCTGATAGTCATAAATGGATGGAGAAGAATGTGCAAAGATATACATTCAGCAAGTGCAAGTAACCAAAAGGAGTTTAGTATGTCTGAACACGGAGCGAGGGAGTGAGTGGCAACGATGAGGATGGAGAAACAGGCAGGAGCCCCAAGGTAGCTGTCTTTGGAGATGGCACAAAGGATAATCGACTTAATACTAAAGGAAATTAAAGGACATTGGATTTTTTGTAGAAGTAGTACAAACATATTTGCATTTTTGAAAGATCAGTTTAGCTCAATCACTTAGAATACATTTGACGGGAGCAAGTTAGAAAGAGGGCAAACAGGAGCCTGTAGCCCTAGTTCAAGTGATAAGTGTTATGGAGTAGAGTGATAGCAACGGGAATGGAGATAAATGGACAGGTTGGAGACATTTAAAAGGAAGAATGGATGGAGTTAGGTAACAGATAGCATATATTGATCGAGAAGATGGTGGTGTCATGGATGACTCTGAGAATTTCAACTTGAAAGAATGAGACACTTAATGGTGTGTTTTAGAGACAGAGAATACTGGAGGAGCAGATGCTGTTTTCAGGGAAAAAGATGATGTGCTCAGTTTTGGAAGTGTTGAGTTGTATGCTCCGTCAGGTCTTGGGAGACATCTACATAATGGAGAAAGCGAGGACCTTTAGGCCCTTGGCCAGAGGTCTTTTTGACAGTTAAAGCAATGAGTTTAGAGAGTTTAGAATCTTAGAGGACAGGGCTGAGCTGAAGATGCATGTTTAGGAACCGTTAGGTTGTGGATGGTGATTGAAGGCATAAGAGTGGATGAAATGCCTGGGGTGAGGTCTCTTGTAATCTAGGTGAGTTAGAGGGGCCACTTTGAATCCTGGGGACACCTTACCTCAAAAACTCACTGCTACTGTGAACCACACCCTTGTGACAAAGTTGCTTTTTCTCATTGTATTTTCAGATCCCACAATTTCTCCATCTCTTTCCTCTCTCCCTTTTACACTACCCCCTCTCTCCACCATTTTTCTCTCATCTTTTAACTTGTTCTCTACTTAGTTCTCTTTGTGCCTCATCTTTACTCCTCTCCATTTGTTACCCCATGTATGTATCTCATTCCTATCTATTTTCTATGCTTCTCTCTCTGGACCTAGTTTTAGCATTGAAGCAATCTTCTTTGTATTGTCACTTCCTTTTCTGTTTTCTCTTTGCTTCTAGTCTGTTTCTCTCAATCTTATCTTGACTTTTTGGTTTTTATTTTTTTTACAATTACCATCTTTGTCTCTATCTTTACTTTCTTGATCTATATTCAGCTTCATCTCACATATTACTACTTTCATCACCACGAAATTCCTGCTCTTTTGACACAGACCACACTACTGACCACTATTACATTTGCCAGTTCCCTGTGAGCTTTCTACATGGCTGGCTTCTCAGTCAGTCATGGACTTTATTACCATGTTTCTGGTACGTACAACTGAGAAGGTTCTTGAAAATTATCCCTCTTCCTCCACAAAACTTCCTAGCCTTCTGATATGTGGATTCCATGTCCACTTGGAAAAACTTGAAACTCACTTAGGGAGCTTTTATGTTGGAGACCCCAGCCTACCTTCTCCACTCTTTCTCCTTCCATTATCCACTCAGTGTCACCTCCCTCCATTCAGCTCTTCTTTTGGCTCCCTCAAACCTGTCAAAAGCAGCCTGAGTCTGAGCACAAGTCTCTGTCTGTGTACATGAGTGTGTGTGCATGTAGGTGCAAAGGTGTGAGGGAGAGGTAGGGAAAAGAAAGAAGAGCTGTCCCCCTGTGCAGACAGAAAAACGACGATAACTGATAATTGGCTGCTCATAATCATATCGTATTTGACTTCTTGTATCATAATTGTCTTCTCCATCACATGCTAATAGGCTGGCATCCCTTTTGACTCTTTTCCTCTATTCTTTTTTCTTCCTCTATTCATTTAAAGAGCTTTGAATTCACAGAGCACTGAAAGGAAATGAGGAAATGACAGGCTACACACAGTGACCAGGGAACGCACTTTAATGTGGTCATGCTGAACTATGTGCATAGCACAGATGGACTCAGGAAAAAATACCCCCACTCTAAGGCTGACACCTCATATCTATCAGAGGTTTTCTCTGTGTCTTTCTATCTGGCCACATCTCATTCTCCTTATTTCTCATTTTTCAGCCTATTGTCCTACCTTACACGTCTTATCTTTATTGTTTCGATTCTGTGACCTCTCTCCCTGATTTCTCTTATATCCTGTGTTGCTTTCTCTCTTTACATCAGTGATGCTCTTAATCTCTGTTCCTCTTTATTTCTGTGTTCATTCTTTTTTTGCCCTATCTTTCTAGGTATTTCGTATTCCATTCAGCTGGCTCCACTCCTACCCTCTTTGTTTCTTTTTCATTTGTTTTATTTTCATTTTTCCTTCTCCATCAATATCTATATCTATCTCTATCTATAAAATTTTTCTTGCATCAGGCACTGATACATTGCCATACGAATATATCAAGTTCCTTGTATCTCCTCTCTGGACTTTGATCAAGTGACACGGTTCTTATGCTCCCACCTATTACACACAACAGTCACCCGCCATGAGACACCCAGGCTGCTTGTCCCTATTGTTCCTTCAGTTTTTTGACCCTTATATATTTGTACATCTATTTCCTCATCCCAAAATGAGGACAGCAAGAGTCAACCTGCCTGTCTTAAGGATTTTGTGATGACGAGGAAAGATCTTATTTGCCAAAGCACTCTGAAATAAAACAATGTAATCTTATTACATGGTGAAGGACATCTGTTAAAATCTATACTCAAGTTTGAGAGTGGTTGATCTGAAGCTTTATATCTGTTGATAATTACACAGAAGGACCAGTTTTCTTTTGAGGTTTATACCATTACAAACGACATTAATGTTAACCAATATAAATCTAAGATCTTAGTGTTAGTGGGCATCACAGTAGATATTAAGAAAGATACTATCTGGGGCCGGCCCAGTGGCGCAGCGGTTAAGTGTGCACACTCTGCTGCGGCAGCCCAGGGTTCGCGGGTTTGGATCCTGGGTGCACAACGACGCATCGCTTGTCAAGCCATGCTGTGGTGGCGTCCCATATAAAGTGGAGGAAGATGCGCACGGATGTTAGCCCAGGGCCAGTCTTCCTCAGCAAAAAGAGAGGAGGATTGGCATCGGATGTTAGCTCAGGGCTAGTCTTCCTCACCCAAAAAAAAAAAAAAAGAAAAAGAAAGATAGTATCATTTTGCTATTTATTTCTTCTACAACGGCAATAAATAATTACATACATTTAGTCAGTAGGACTCATCCTGTGAAATATGAGTTCATAATAATTTCCTGTTTACTGCCATTATCTAAAATGCTGAAAGGAGTTCCCAGGATTAATTGGGTACAAGGTAGTAAAGGTGCTCAGAATAAAATGCATCTGGAACAATAGCGTTTAAGTCAGATTCTTGACATTCTGCTGGCCAAAACTTGGCATCCTAATTTTCTTTACCTGACTCACTTCTTAGGACTGAACTAGAAGTTTCCAGAGGCTCTTCTCCGTTACTCAATTCTGAAAAGTCATCATTGTTGATCCCTGTAGAAAGAAGCAAAATTTCTTTACAGTCTCAGTCTGTGTCCTAGGAACCAATCCATCAGGGAATCTTTAAAATGAAAATTGAAAAAGAGAAGTTTATGTAGGAGAGGTAAGAATGTTTCTCCCACCAGGCCACCCTGTGGCTCTATCTGACTTGTTCAAGGTTGCTCCAGGAACCATCCCCAAGAACTAGGGACAATTTTGCCATGGAAGGCACTCCCTTTGGTCACCGTTTCTTAGACTTGTTACCTCTCCACGTGTATGCACATACTTCTGCTTCTACTTCTGTTTCTTATCCAGGGAGACCATGGAAGCAACATTTTCAAGATGTCAGAGCCTCCATCAGCTTGGCCCTCAATAATCATGTGGAGCAGAGCACCCCTCCACCCAGGGAACCATTTTATTTTATTTATGTGAATGAAGAATAAACTTGTATTGTGCTTGTGCCATTGAACTTTTTGAGGTCTATGTGTTATACCTGTTAGCCCAACCCACCTAATTCAAAATGTGTAATGTGTATCTTCTAAAACCCCAGCAAATTAATTTTTTAATTTTCAAGAATATAACAAAAAATTTGAATGAAGCTTTTGTAGCAAAGAGAGACATTTATTACACCAAGAGTTTTTAATTGCTCCCAAGTCTTTTTCCAATTGCTTATCCCCCAAATAGATTTGTTTCCAATATCTGCAGGATCTAGAAAGTAAAGGAAAACACAACTAGTAATCTACAACTAAAAGAGTTGTATATCTTATGGCTACTCACATTGTAGACAAGATTTGGACTAGAAAGATGCTATGATAATCATTTCTGTCTCTTCCCATTTAAAGGAATCAGATCACTACCAAGTGGAGAAAAGACCCACATTTCTTTAGTCCTAATTGCAAAATCAAAGGAATTTTGAAAACCAATGTCTTTTCATAGGTTTGCAGCTGATTTGGCAGTGAATCTGGACTTGAGTTGCCATGAGTCCATGTAAAATCTTTATTTATCACACTTGGGGTGAATTCACACAATTTCCTGCAGGAACAGTAATATAGCATATTTGAGAATGGGAATCTGCCCCATATCCTCTTGAGGTGTTTTGTAACATATAGGATATACAGCACATTGTCTTTCTAAAGCAATAAAACTATTAATTTACTTCTGGCTTCAAACGTTTTGAATAAAGGATTATGAATGCTTGCTAGGAGTCCAGGCTGTTAGTTCTGCCTCTTCTGCTAACTTTCCATGTAAGATGTGTAAAAGATCCTTAAGTATTTATGTATGGGAGTTTCCATCTGTGGAATGGAGGAGAACAAAAGTTGTCTGGTCTACTTTTTAGCTTATTGTAAACATAAAAGGATATCTTATTTGAGAAGGTATTTTCAAATGTCACTCTATAGGCCAATGTCATGTTGGGGATCGTCTGTCAAGAGCTATAAATTGAATTTGATGGTAATAACCAGAAGTCTTTTCTTCTGTCAATAATTAGAGAGTATGACCAGAGTCTTGAGTTTTGAACAAGTCTGTGACAAAATAAATCAATGGCAGACTACCCCCTTTTTCTGCTCTCTACAAAAGAGACGGTGGGCAGGGGTGGAAATCACTACATAACCCAATACTTTGGGGGATAATATGTCTGGCAGCATGTAGTAAAAATGACACCGCCATTCAACGAGAGCCATCTTGTTAAGCCTGAATTTACAATGATTTCTTCCTTTGCATTTTTCAAAATGGCTGCATGAGATAAATGCAGAGAATGGGCTCCCAGGCTGTGGAGAGTGCTCAGAGTAAGATTCACCAGGAAACAAGAGCTCTGTAACTCAGACTCCTGATGTTTTGGAGCCCAGTGATGGCAGTCCTTATCCTCCTCAACAGGACAACTTCCCAGCTCAGAGCTCCAAGCTCCCGGGGACACCTCGCTCGTACTGGACTCTGAAAAGTCATCATGTCTTATCATTGCAGAAGGAGCAAATGTCCTTTGAAGGTTTCAGTGTATGACAAAGGAATCAAGACAGAAAAACCTTGGGACGTTCTGACAGTGCAGGGCAAGAATGTCCCTCCCTCAGACCTCCATGATCTGCCTTTGTATTCACTTGACTTGTAGGTCAGTATTTTTTCTCTCACTGTCACATGAGCCTGAGGCTGAGAACATTTTACTGTCAATGGGCATCTCTGCTTTGTCTTGGTCCTCCATTTTTTACACCGAATTCTCTTTCTTCTTTTACTTAGCTTTATGGATTTGTTGTCATTGTTTTTATATGTGTATTTGTATATATTTTTAGGTCTTCTTCTGCTTCTCTCCCAGGGTAGTCATAGAAGTCTGATATTGAAGAAGGCAGATCTCCCACTTGGCTGCTTCCCAGAATGACTACATGAAACAGAGCCCCATCCCTCCCCCTTCTAAAACTCCTTGAAATGTTCGTTTGAGGAAAAAAAAATATTTTATTGTGTTTGAGTCATTGACTTCTTTGGGTTTATTTATTACAGACTTTAGCCTAACTAACTAATACAAAAGTCAAAATACAAACCATCTTAAATTAAGAGGTTGTAGGTTAAGTCATCTGCCTGATTTTTCAGTTTCTCCATTCTCTGCTACTTTTCCTACTTTCTCCTATTCTCTGTTTCTTATAATTGATGTGACTTCTCTGTGCCTCTTCTGTATCAATTTTGTCTTTCTATATAGTTTCTTCATCTCAGAAGTTCCCATCATCACTAAGGGACTTCTCGTGTGCCATTGTCCATCACACCGAGTCCCTCCACCTGCCAGTTCTGCTCCCCACAGCATCAAACCCAGTCAGTCAGTCTTACCTGCTGGCTCAGACTTCTGGGCACATTGCTCATTTGCTTGTTGGCTTTCTAGTGCATCATTTTTGTCACTGGTTGTATCTTCTCTCTTTGCATTTATCCGTCCTGTTTCACAGAAGTGCTCTGAGAGTCCATCTTCAGGTGGGGTTGTACCTAAATGACATTTTGATTCATAGATATTTTATTTGCCCCCTGCATCAATTAGGGTCCAACAGAAAAATACAAATCACTCTCAGCTTTTAAAGCAGAGGGAATTTAATCTATGGGACTGGTTATACAGTTGATGGGAGAGCTGAGAAGTCCAAATGGAAGAATGCAGCAACCAGAAGAATTGTCAACAGGAAGCTATGGGAGGGACCAAGGGTGAGCCCAGGGTCCAGGGTCACTGGGTGAGTAGAAGTTGGACCATAGCTGGCCTGCTTGATGGGAGGTGGAGTCATGGGTGAAGTGCAGCCACTGCCAGAATTGCTGCCGGAGTCAGTGACAGGGCAATACTTGGCTTGTCCCTTGCTCCCACTCTCCAATCTCTTGCTACTATCTCCCATGTCAGGAACCCAGCAGCAAGGGAGCTGGTCAGCCAGTCTGCAGAGGCCAGTGGCCAGAGATAGAGGGCAGAGTGGAGCAGGGGAGTGTAAAGAACGAATCCGTGGGAAACACCCCAGGACCAGCGCATCCCTCTTCCCCCATGGTGAACCTCCTCTGCTCTTTATGGATTCCATCGACCCATCCCACTCTGCTCCCACCAACCTCTGTAGAGTATGAATGAATAAATATATTTTTCAGTGAAGATTGCATTGTGTTCATTTAATGATATTTTTCTAAACATAGTAATTTAGGTAAAGTATGATTTAAAAATAATTCCCAAAGTTTTAATATGGAACATGAGCCCTGGTACATGTTTTGTGTCACATCCACAGCTCCTTGGAGCCTCCCATTGGGGTGGTGGGCATGAGACACAGCCCTTCCCTCACCTGTATGTGTCACAGCCAGCCATCTCTGCTGGGTCAGACTCTTGAACACACTTATTGGTGGTTTGTTGTACACCATTTGGGTTGTAGGTTGAAATTTCTCTCTTTATTTTCATTGCTCCCCATCACTGAGATGCTGTGGGATTCCATTTCCAGGCAGGGCTGCCCCAGACCACATTGTGAATTATAATTTTATTACTTCATCCCCTCATGTCCTATACACACACACACACACACACACACACACGCACACACTGAATTTCTTCTCTTCTGCTCATTATGAGTCACAAGTCCATCCCCTCACCTTTTTCTGTTCCCACCAGCTGCACTAGTAGATGAATGGCTAAGAATTTGGATTCATGAATGTTTTTTTTTATATTTTTAAATAACTTTCTCAATAAACGTGATTTGATAAAAGTATAACTATGCTTTCAAAAGTCACTCTGATTTTGGGGCTGGCCCAGTGGTGCAGTAGTTAAGTTTGCATGCTCTGCTTTGGAGGCCTGGGGTTCGCAGGTTTGAATCTCGGGTGTGGACCTACACACTGTTCCTCAAGCCATGCTGTGGCAGCACCCCATATATAAAGTAGAGGAAGATGGGCACAGATGTTAGTTCAGGGCCAATCTTCCTCACAAAAAATACATAAATAAATCACTCTGATTTTTTTTTCTTTCATAAAAAGGTATTACTAATTTAGAACATCCTTCCTTAAATAACACATCCCAACTGGAAGCTACGTGATAAGGGCCTTTCACAGTGCGGGAAGTTCCCTGAGACTCTTCTATGTTACTCATTTCCAAAGGAGAGTCATGGAATAAAGACATAAAATTCATTATAGACTAGTGTGCTCTAAGGACAGGGAACCTATCGCCCCCAGTTGATCTTCCTGGGCCAGAAGTTGGTGTTACTTTTATCACTGCTTCTACAGCCCGGGAAATAATTAAATCCACGATGGGCATCTGTGAGAGAAGAAAATGCCAAAGTTTACTGTAATGGTTAAAAGTTTAGACTCTGGCACCAGATACAAATTATGATGATAATTAAACGTAGTAATAATACCAAATGCATGGAACACTGATGAAGTACCAGGCATAATTGTGCAAGCGCTACATGACAGAACTTGTTTAAAATCTATCACCCTGAAGGACAAAGAGGAGAAGTAACTTTCCTAAGATCACAGGGAGAATTAGAAGCCAGGTCATGGGCATCCAGATTCTGCTCTGACACTATCTTACAACCGAGTTCAATCCAATTCTCAGTTCAGTGAACTTACACAAACAACCAGACTCTCTAAGCCAATGCTTTCTCCTCTGAAAAATGGGGATGATATGCCACCATTTTAAGCTGTTTGAGAAGATTAAAAAAAATATTACCTGTGTCACTATATGGGATATAGTCACTATATGGAATATGGGCTATATGACATCAGAAAACTAAATCATTATGATAAATGTCTTAAATTTATAATATTTAAAATAACATTATATATTTTAATTATATTTAATTATAATTATATTAAATCATAATTCAGAAACTAAATTACTAACAGTGTTATAGATTAAGAGAAGTCAAGAGTCAAACAGTGGTTATTGGTTGCTAAAGTACCAAAGTGTTTTTGCGGTGACCCATCTAGTGTTCAAAGGGCAGCTCCTGGCCTGCTGCCCCCGGGATGATGGAAGAGGGTTTGTATCGGAGGCACATGGTGTCCATGGTCCCATGTGAGGGACTCAATGTGGGAGGTACCCTGCCCACATGAGGGACGCTCATCTCACCATCCCCCATCACTCTCGCTGCAGCGACGGCCACCTCTGGATGTGACCTCAAATCACCGAGGCAGCAATCAGATTCAAGCAAGACAGAGGCAGAAAACTGTGTAGCCAGGCACATGAGCAAAACGTCCAAGCCCAGAGCTGTCAGGAGCTGGCACCAAGTGCGTTTGAGGAGTGTGGAAGGAGTGACCTTCCCAGGCAACCCAGAGTACAACGACTAGTATCTAAATGCTTGGAGAAATTGCAGAGGCAAAGACTGACAATTCTGGGCAATCAGTGATATGCAGAAGCAGGCCCCCGTCAAAGCACATTCCAGAATGGGACAAGAATAGCAGAGGATCACAGAACAGTCAACAGGAACAGACCATGGTAAGAGGAGGATTCTGTGCAGGACCAGGTCAGGGTTCGATGAGAGTTTTCACCAATTCCTAGAGGGAATAAAACAGAAGTTTATTTCAGGAATTGGAGTATGGGCTGTGCCAATCTCCCCTAACCCCTTTTTAATAAAGGGAGTTGAAGATTCTTCCAGGGGTCAATACAATCAGTACAAGAGCCCATCAATCAGTACAGAGCCCATCTGACCTGGTGGATCTCACCCCACTCTTACCGTCAGACTCCATCCCCTAGAATGCTGGACTGGGGTCAGCTGCACCCCTGGTGGAGAAGGCTTGGCCAGGCCACCTCAGTGTGTCCTTCATGAGCCCCTCAGGTAACTACTGATGGCTTTTCTTGTTGCCCACAGCCATAGTGAACCTGCCTTTGTCCCCAGAGCTGCCCCCAATGCGTGGCTTTACCTTATTTCCTATAAAGTCCTAGTGCCTCGTCCCCACCCCTTTTCATACCACACCCTCCTTCTACACATCTGTTCTGTCTTGTTGGCCTTTCCATGAGGACTCAGTGTCTGATTCTCCTCCACTTCCTCCAGTGCCTGGTATTCTTTTTTCTGTGTCTTTCTCTCTGTGTGTATTTCCTTATTTTTGTTTCATGTTTCTGTCTTTTCCATTAGATTGTCTGGATAGTGTACAGAGTTAAGAACACAGGCTTTGGGTTCAGAATTCCTGAGTTCATCCTTGCTCATTTGACCTCAGCCCAACTACATACATGGTCTCTAGACTTCAGCTTCCTTCTCTGCAAAATGGGCACATAAGTGATATTATCCTCCAATGGCGTCCATGAGCACTGAACCCACAACTGCCAGAGTAAATGCTTAGTCAAGTGAGATGTGAATAATATAGTTGTTTTTATTGTTTGTATCCTTTACCCCTTTCTCCTCTGTCATTTCCCCTCCTTTCTCCTCTCTCTCAAACTGCCCACATCCTCTTCTCCACATCTCCACCACTTTCTCTCTTCTCTCTATATGACTGCCTGTCTCCTTGAATAGTCCTGCTCTTAAACAACACGCCTCACATTTAAATCGGTCCCTTTTTTTTGCTATCATCAAAGGCCTCCTCTTTGACATTGACCTTGGGCCCGTAGTTCTAGCCCTTCACAGCTTCACACTGATCTTCTCCTACAGGGGCCTCTCTAAATCACAATTACTTCCAAGTAGTCATTCTCTTTAAAACTCATTTACTGACACATTGGGTTCCTCTTCTTTTGTCTTGCTCATTGGACCAACAGTCTCTTATCAGAGCTATTCCTCCAGGATTTCTCATGCAAACACCCTCCCGCCTTCTCCATGCTCCTTCAACTTCACCTCCCTGATTCACAATCTCCCCTCAGGACTCAGACCCCCACCTCCCTTTCTCCTTTTCCTTGTAGCAGATGAGAATTGGTGTTTCTTAGGTCGCAATCACCTTGTTCAAGGCTTAGTTGGATATGAGGCTTCTCCTCCATCCTTTCTCCATTATTTTCTAGGGCAAAGTTTTTGTTTGAATTCACTGAAGAAGAGAGAGAAGGCAATTAGAGATCTCCATCAGAAACCAGGGACAACATGTTAAAATTGCACAGTTAGGAATTTCCAACCCTCGAGTCACTCAGAGCTCAGTGGGTCTGATCCTCATCATAAGGTTCCCCCATCATCCCTGAAACAGAAGAGAACCCCCAACAAGGAAGCCTCTATGTTTCCCACACAGAAAGGAGCCACTCAAATGTGAAAGGTAAAGGAGTACTGGAAATATCATGAGGCTGTTACTCACATAAAAAATTTTCAGATGAGGGGCTGGCCCGGTGGCGCAAGCGGTTAAAGTGCACGTGCTCCACTGCAGTGGCCCGGGGTTTGCCGTTTGGATCCCGGGCGCGCACCGACGCACCGCTTGTTAAACCATGCTGTGGCGGTGTCCCATATAAAGTAGAGGAAGATGGGCACAGATGTTAGCCCAGGGCCAGTCTTCCTCAGCAAAAAAGAGGAGGATTGGCATTGGATGTTAGCTCAGGGCTGGTCTTCCTCACACACAAAAAAAATTCAGATGGCAGGGAAAGCATATATCAAAATAAATCATGGAAGTGAAATGTGTTTTCTGAACTTTTCAAACTGTAAGGAAGAAACAGAGGGGTTTCCTCGGGAGAAGAGCTATGATCCTAGAGAGATCCATGTGTGTAAAAGAGAAAGCCCAACAGCTTGAAAGATGCAGCTAAAGAAAAGGTGTGTTTGGCTTAGTTGGGTAAGGGAGGATGAGTGGTTCCCAAAGTGAGAAACTGGAAGACACAGGGAGGAACTAGACAGAGCTCCAGGGGGGCCCAGATCCCAGGAACAAAGGAAAGACACTCTCTGAAAGCTATAATCGGGGAGTGCATATTGCTGCACTGGAGGACATCACAAGATGCCTGGACCAGAGGCCTGGGAGGCTGCCAACGAGGAGAGATCAGGACACCAGTACAGGGCTCCTACATGTAGGTGACCCAGCAAATGTAGGAGGAAGGAGATAAACCCAGAAGCCCAGGAATTGTGTCTCTGCGGGGTGTCCAGGGAGGAGGAGACACTGTGGGAGGTGGTGGGGTCCTTGCTGCCCCAGGGCTGGCCGGAGCTCCTCCTGGGACAATAAATCTGTACTTACAAACTTTATAAACCTGTACTATCTCTTTGTTATCTAATAAATAAACTTCAAATTCCTTAGTTTTAGATGCCAGACCTTCCAAAATCTTTTTTCAAACTTATCCCTCTTGTGTCAGCTCCCACAGTCTGCTTCTCACTTCCTGATGGAGACAAATCGAATTTGTCCTTATTTTGCAGACACACTAGACCATTTTACACTCCATGACTGTTCCCATAGCATCCACCTTTCTCAGTTCATATAATCATTTTTCTTGTGAATTCTCCATCATTATTTGGAAATCTTGGTTGAGACCAAAGTATGTTGGAAAAAAATGTTTTCTAGGAAAGTCAAAACAAAAATTATTGAAGGACATCTTCTTTAATGTGTACCAATTAAAAAGTAGAAATCATGCCTTTTGAGGAAAAAGTGGAGAATCAAACCAGTTTTGTACAGTGTCAAAAACAGTCTCTGACAGAGCAATTGGATTTGTGATTATTTGATTAAAGTTTGCTTCACCCCTTGTGGATAAAGAGTTAATAAAACTATTTCTCTTTCTTTAAGGGCAAATTTGACATTGGGTTAACTTTCTTGCTCATTTCTCTGGAAACCTGACAAAGTCTCTTCTGTGTTACTAGACCCACACTGTGTTTAGGGTTAAAAACGACGTGTGAATGGTAGATTGCACGTGGATGGGGAAGGAGGGTCTAGCGATGGACCAAAAGCCATACTTTGGTCTTCCTTCAATGTGATGACTCTTGTCACTCAGCTTGTCCTGCGTGGGGTCCCTGGATGTTATGACTATGGGTTGTTACATGACATATTGACTCCCAAGGGCATGGTGTGCTAGACCAGTGTGGATCCTGCATTCACCAGTAAGCTGTCCCTTGAGGCAGGTAGTAGTCAACTGGGTAGACTGCTGTGTGGACTGCTGCAAGGGGTCCCACAGAGGAGGAGCAACTGATGCTGCCCAGTTGGGATGCTGTGTTTCCCGTCATTTGTCCTTCTAAGTAACTCACATGCCATGTGGCTCTGGCTGTCCTGTGAGTCTAAACGCCTAGTTAAGCAGATCTCTAGGTGGGTGTTGTGCCATAGCCCCTATAACATAAGCCTCCAGAAGGCTCATGATATGTGTGTTTTGTAAACTGCTATGTCCCCACTGACCAGCACCACGTGTAGCATATGATAGGAGCTTAATACATACATGTGAAAAAAATTGGACATCAAAAGGTCAGTGATAAATCTAATTACCATTTTTGAAGCTTTCATAAATGTCCCTTAAATCAGGGTATTCCTGCATGTTGACCTTGCTGAATAACGCTCCCAGAAGTGGTAGGTCAAAAGTCTTCTCCAGTTCACAGAGCACATTGTACACCACGTTATGTACAGGGACCAGGTTTCTACAAGAATTTTCACAATCCTTAAAAAATATTGAAAGGAGAAAATATAAATACAGACTTGCAAGTTACAGAAAAGCCCTTGAAAGTGATTTTATGGGTAATGTATTCCAATTTCTCTAGATAGGTATGGTCTCATGAAAAGTTTTAGGATTTCTAGATATGGTATGCAGGATTTCTATATAATGTCTGGCTACTAAGTAAAACAAGTAAATCCTTCCTCCTTAAAAATACCCATTTGTGAATCTGATCTCCTTACCCTCATCTAAATTAGATGTAAGGAGGAGCAATTTTGAAGAATAAAAGTGGGTTCAAAGTTAAATGCTGTGTGGCCCTTTAAGAACCTGGCCAAATGTTTTAGGAATAGACTTAGCAGGTGATGAGCAGTAGTTCTGTTGACTGGACAAGCTCTGAACTGACTTGGCCTGGCAGAACTCAAGGAAGCCAGGTGACAGTTCTCCCCTTTGTGAACTTGACCAAAGAGCAAGCATATTCATAGGGCAAAGGGAAGACTTGCATTTCTGTATGTCCAACAACACCTGTTGCTAAAATTAACTCAAATTCCTAGACTGCAGAAATACAAAAAAAAAAAAAAAAAAAAAAGAAAACTGAAAACCATTGGAGTAAAGATAGCAAGCATCTTCTCCAAATTTGTCCTAACAAGACATCAGTTCCCTGTGGGTTTTAATGTTCTCAGATCTGAGCATTTAAATCGAAGTTCATTGAAATGAAATTCTTGTCAGTTATTGTCTCATTAAATCAACTCATTTAAATTATTCATTAATTTATTAAAATTACTTTTAATTCTTAGCTTATGCTATATTGTATGCATTCCTGCAAGGCACTATACATCTATGGAGCACACCTGCTTCAGATCCAGCCTATCTCCAATCTATTCAGCCCAACTCCAGTGTGCACCATGGAGCACCCTTCCTTCAAGTTAGAAGCAGGACTGTCTATAGTGATGCCTGCTTCTCCTCTCCTTTTTTACATATAGGAAGGAACACTTACAGTAAAAATCGAAAAGGTCTCCTACTCATAGGAGACTCCTCAATTGGCCAGTTGTGCCCTGACGTTTGGGTCCAGGATATCAAAGCATAACTTAGTTTGGGGCTGGTTTACCAGATCGTGACATAATAAACCTCACTTACTTCATACATTTTTTGGGTGATGAACTCTTGGTCACGGAGGCCCTCAAGGAAAGGAAATGTTTTTTTTATTGCACTTGAAATCTCCAGCTTATGTCTTTTGAAGTGCATGAGTAGAGACACAAAGCCAGGCCTGTCTTCTACATTCTGGTCTTCTGTGGACGTTCTAGGGAGAGAAGATACCATGAGAAAATGGTCATCAAGATTTTGAGATGCTTGTGGAGGCTGTGAAATTATATATATGAAGGCTAGGCTTTGAAGAACCAATATATATAAAATAAGTGGTCCTGAGTAGAGACCAGAACAAGCAATAAACAAAGATATAATAGAAGAAAGCATGGAGGTTAAGAAAGACTTATACATAGGACTGAAAAAGTTGTTTGTCCCAGCCCAAGCCTTTGTAAAGATATCTCCTCCTAAGCATAACAGGAGTATTTTGTTAATTAAAAAATCTTTTTAATTTATACAAAATTGAGATGGAGTAAACAGTTCATCCACTGTTGGAATGTAATTCCTCCACTGAGGAATAAAAAAATGGAATAATAATAGAATCTAACTTGAAAGTGCATCTTAAGTAACAAGCAAGAAAAAATAAATCTCAGAAAGATAAAAACAGGGTGTCCCCTTCATGACCTATAGTTAAGAGAAATACCATCCTCCATTATAAGACTAGTTCGTAAATGATAAGATGTGATTTGATAATGATATAGTATGGTATAAGTGGAGAATTTCACAAGGATATCAATTATTTCTCCTGGGACTTCTGCATTTTGTTAATATAAATCTATCTGCACTATTTTCATACATAGTGAATCTTTTTAGGCAACTGAATTTCAGAAATTGCTGCTCTTTCCTGTAAAAGTAATTCAAACCCGAGTCACTAATTCTGGTTCTCAGTCGATCATTTTATTGCTCTGATAATAATGGTTTAGTCAACATCTTGTATTCCTCAATATTATGAAGACTCATAAGCTTTCTTTGTAAACACAGAAGAGAATTATTGACACTTCCCAGTACCTAACATGCACCAAGGAAAAATAATGTCACACTATTGTGTTGAATTCCATTTAAAAAAAGTTTCTGGTTAAAGATTGCAGATTGTAAAGAAGTGTTCATCTTTTCTTTTGTTAAAAAACCCCACTAAAATGATAATAAGGAACTGGGTTCACAATTACAAAGAGAATGGCAGGGGACAACAAACAGATGAGAGATTTCAACCCAAATCTATAACACAAAAAGTGGTCAGAGGAGCACTAATTGCTATTGTAGGTGAAGGATACTCCCAGGAATCAGGAAGCAACCAATGTGCCTTGTGGAATCCTGAAGAGGCAGTGGAAATTATAAGGGAGTCATGATGCCGAAAACTAAAATGTTGTTTGAAAAATGAAGAACAGAACAGTGCACCTTCTACCTCTCAACCCACCTGGAGCCAGGCAGCCTCTCAAAGGCAAACATTGCTGTCCTTCCTATCACCATATGTTACTTTTGCCTGTTACTGGATTTCATATATGGAATAATGCATCATATATACTTGTGTGCCTGATTCCTTTTGCTCATCATCTATGTTGCTGGAAGAATAGAAGTTTATTTCTTTCTGTTGTTGAGAGTATTCCAATTGTGTGGATCTACAACAATCTGTGTATTCATTTTCCTGTTGATGGACATTTGGGTTGATTCCAGTTGGGGACTAGCATGAATAAAGCTACTCTTCTTGTCCAAGTCTTTTTGTGGCATGATGTTTTCACTTCTTTTGGGTAAATAACCAGGAGTGGAATTGCTGGATTATTGTGTAAGTGTATGTTTAACTGTTTCAGAACTTGCCAGACTGTTTTCAAAGTATATTAGAAATAGCCTTTCTAATTTAACCATTCTAGTGTGTGTGATGTGGTTCTTACATAGTTTTAATTTGTATTTCTTTAATACATGATGATGTTGAACACATTTTCATATGCTTATTGGCACTTTATATATCTTCTTTTGTGACGTGTTTGTTCAGGTCTTTGGCCCATTTATATTATTGGGTAGTCTTTTACTTACTAATGTGTAGGAGTTCATTACATATTATGAATAGAAGTGTTTTATTTGATATACGTATTGTGGACAGTTTTTCTCAGTTTGTGGCTTGCCTTTCATTTTTTTAACCATGTTTTTTGATGAGGAGAAATTTTTAATTTTGATGAAGTTCAATCTATCAAAATTTTTTTTGTGGTAAATGACCTTCAGTGTACTCTCTAATAAATCTTTACATACCCCAAGTTAATGAAAATATTCAAAAAACAATGGGTCTATTTCTGGATTTTCTATTCTGTACCATTGATCTATTTGTCTATCTTTATATTGATAGCATATTGGCTTAAAAACTATAGTTTACAGAAAGTCTTGAATTCAATTAGGAAAAGATTGTCTTGGCTTTTCTAGGTCTTTTGGTTTTCCACATGTCTTTTAGAATCCATTTGTCAATTTGTACAATAAAAGTCTTTTGTATTTTTATTTGGTTTGTATTGACTCTATACGTAAATTTGGTGAGAACTGACATCCTAACCATATTGAACTGTGCTATGTTAATGTTGTATAGCTCTCCATTTATGCAGTTTTCCTTAATTTTAACTAGCAGTGCTTATGATTTCAGTATAGATGTCATGCACATCTTTCATTAAACTTATTTCTAGTTATTACATTCTTTTTGATGCTACTTTAAATGGTATTGATTTTTAAATTGTTTGTTACTATTGTATAGAAATAGAATCGGTTTGGAAAAATATTAATCATATATTCATAACCTTCCTAAATTCACCTGTGAGTTCTAGCAAAGTACTGTAGATTTCCCTTGGCTTTTATAGAAAACAATCGTGTCATCAGCAATAAAACTCTTTTACTTCTTCGTTTCCAAAAATTATCTCTTTTTCTTGTCTTATTGCAATGGTACAAGTCTAAATACAATGTATTTAATGTAAATTAAATTAAATTTAATTTAAATACAATTTAATTTAATTTACATACAATTTAATTTAATTTAGTGGTGAGAGCAGACTTGTTTGTCTTGTTTCTAATCTTAGAGAAAAAGCATTCAGTATCACTGTTAAGTATAATGTTTTCTCTACATTTTTATGTATATATATAATATGTATTTTTTTAATGAGATTGAGGAAGTTTCTGTCTATTCCTACTCTGTTGTGAGTTTTACCGTGAACAGATGTTGAATTTTATCTAATGTATCTGCTGAGATATTCCTATGGTTTTCATTTTTTATTCCTTAATTTGGTGAATCACATTGATTTCTGGAACCTCTTCTTTAGTAGGAACTGATAACCACAAGTCAACAGACATTTGAGGAAATTTTCCAATATCAGAATGAAAAAATAACATAAAAAAAAGAGAAAAATGTTACCTTAGGAGAAACAGAGATAATATAGGAAACAGGAGAAAACGTCCCCCAAACTAATATTTTTAGAGAGATTTCAGAATACTTATTGCACTCCATGTTGCTAAGAAAAAAGAACTACCAGAGAAATACATAGTGGTCTTAGATATTTTTAAAAAATAATTTCAGAAATAAAAAAATAATTAAAATGGTTAAATAAAACTGAGGAAATTTCCCACAAAACTATGTAAAGAGATTAAATGGAAAGAAAAAGTAAACTTAAGAGAAATATGAGACTAAGGATTAATTTAGGTAATCTAATAGCCCTATAATCAGAGTCAAGACAGCTAGACAGGGGAAAAGGAGATACCATAGAGTGCAAGGAGATGAATTTTTTGAAAGGGCACATTAGGAACTTAGGAAATGAATTTTAGAAGAACCACCAAGGCATATCATTATGAAATGACAATACCCAATAAACAAAGAGAAGAACTTAAAAGCTTCCAGAAAGAATCAAAAAACTGGTTACCTATAGAAGAACAATGGCAAGAATAGCTTGAGACATCTCATCAGTAACATTGACTGTAGAGCCAGCGCTTCAAAACTCAGAGTGAATCAGAACAACTTCAGACACGTAAGGCTGAGAAATTTTACTTTACAAACACCCACTTTGGGTGATTTTCCTAAAATTTTCTTTATGTACATACAAATACACACATATAAAATGTTTAAAAGGTAATTTTATACATGCTCTGAGATTTTAATGCAATCACTATTCTACTTTTTATTTTTTGCTTGTTTCCAACCACATCTTTCCTTCCTTTCTATCCACTTCACTGTCCTCACTCCTCCCACATAATCCATTTTGATAACTTTGCATGTATTCTTCCCTAAATTCCCCATAAGTGTATAATTCTATCTACCTATATCTATATTCTACCCATACTTACAGAGTGTTTTTGTCATCATATTATATTACGATATTATATGATTTTCTTTTTCTGTATTATATGCTTTTTTTCTGTATCAAATTTGTCTTATATATTAATATCTTGAAAAAATCCCCAAGTCATCTAGTGTGGATGTAGTTTATTTACTTATTTATTGATTGATTTTCTTATTTATTTAGTGAATGTATAATATTCAGCAGCACCCACATACTCTTAGGAAAATACATTAGCATGAATTTCAGAAAAACATGGAAGTAAACCAGCAATGAGGAAGATACAAAAATCAGAAACCAATGGATCCAACCCAGGAGACAGTAAAGGGAAGTACAAAACGGGAGCCTGGGAGCAGACCAAGAACATAAACATCTCAGATTGGAGCAAGTGATGATTACAGCATATAGATAAGTACAATGAATCACAGCACTATGATTAGAAATGGGAGGGAGGAATTGGAAATACTCTGTTATAAGGTACCTGCATTACAGGTGAAGTACTATACAATGTATATTGCAAACTCTAGGCAACTACTAGAAACATTCAAAAAGAAGTACAATTGATATGTTAACAGAAGAGATAAGACGGAATCATATAAAATGTTAAATTAAAACCAGAGAAGGCAGAAAAATAGGAAGAAAAAAAGAAACAAAGAACAAATACAATGAATAGAAAACAATTACAAACATGATAGATATTAATCCAATATATCAATAATTGCTTTTAATGTGAATGGTCTAAATACTCCAATTAAAAGACAGAGATTGTCAAAGTGACTGAAAAAAAATAGAAAACTATATATTGTCAACAAGAAAAACCCTTTAATCAAAAGATAGATGGAGTTGCTATATTATTGTCAGACAAAGAAAATTCAGAACAAGAAAAATTATGAAGGAGAAAGAAAGCATTATATATGAAACAGAAGTCTGTTTTCCAAGAAGACTTTACAATCCTTAACGTGTATTTATGTAAATACACAGCATCAAACTATGTAGGGTAAAAATTGATAGAAGTAGAAATAGACAAATCCACTATTACAATTGGATACTTGAATAATCCTCTTTTAGTAATTTATAGATCAGGCAGGTAGAGAACCAATAATACAGTTGACCTGAACATCACTACCAATCAACTTGATCTATTTGACATTTATAGAGTACTCCATCCAACAACACGGAATATACATACTCCTGAAGATCACAGGGAAAATTCACCCTCACCAAGATAGACCACATTCTGGGTCATAAAACACACCTTAACAAATTTAAAAGAGTAGAAATCATAAAGAGCATGTTCTCAGACAACAAAGGAATTAAACTAGAAATCAATAACAGAAAGATAGATGGAAAATTCTCAAATACTTGGAGATTGAAAAATATATTTCTAAATAACATATGGGTCAAAAAAGAAGTATCAAGGGAAATTTTTAAATATTTTGAACTAAGTGAAAATGAACATACAACTTATCAAAATTTGGGGATGCGTAAAAAGCAGTGACTAGTGAGAAATATGTTCCATTAAGTGCATATATTAGAAAAGAAGAAAGATCTAAATTTAAAAACCTAGGGCCGGCCCCGTGGCATAGCAGTTAAGTGCACGAGCTCTGCTGCTGGTGGCCCAGGTTCAGATCCTTGACATGCATCAAGGCACCCCTTGTCAAGCCATGCTGTGGCATCATCCCATGTAAAGTGGAGGAAGATGGGCATAGATGTTAGCCCAGGGCCAGTCTTCCTCAACAAAGAAAAGGAGGATTGGCATGGATGTTAGCTCAGGGCTGATCATCCTGACAAAAAAAAAAAGAAAATCTAAGTGTCCTACTTAGGAAACTAGAAAAAGAAGAGCACAAAAAGAAAAGAAAAGAAAAAAAAAGAAAAGAAAACGATGCTCCAAAATCAGCAAATACAGTAAATATTGAAATGAGGAGGTCATTCAAATACAAGACTCCAATGCCTACCATTACCACGATTATTTTATGTATGTTTTTAGAAGTTTTAGTTACTGCACTAGGATAAGAAAATGAAGTCATTGGTATAAATACTAAAATAAGATACAACATTTTATGTCCTGTAATTATATACATAGAAATCCTAGAGACCTAACTAAAATCCCTAAGAACTAGAAAAAGAATTTTCCAAGGAACATGAATTAAAAAACAGGTATATAAAACTTACAGATTTTATTAGCAACAACATACATTTAGAAGAAATAAAATAATACCTCAAACACAACAGAAAATGTACCCACATATATTTATAAACATCAGAAAGGTATGGATCTATATGAAGGAACCTATAAAGTTTTATTGAAGGAAATTAAACAAGATCTTAATAAATGGAGATATATAAGGTGCCCCAATTAGGAAAACACAGCAATTTTAAATGTCAATCCTTCTGAAATTATTGTAAAAGAGTGGTGCACTTGCAACTTGTAATCCCATTGAAACTGGATAAAATAATCTAAAATTTTATATGAGAGAACAAATATGAGTGAAGCAAAGAAAAATATAAAATGAAAATAGGTAGAGGAAAACTTAATAAATTTAAATGTTAAAAAAGCAATAAGATATTAAAAGACAGTGTGGAAGCAGGGAGTCAAGATGGCGGCAT